TTGTATTATTATTTTTTAATTTTCATAAGGATTTATTATGCTCTATACCATAGAATTCTGTTTCACAGTTGATAAAACACAGATAAACATATTTCTTATATTCTCTGCTTACAGTGAAGACACATCAGACAAAAATCTTTTTAAAAAAAGATACAACTGGAAAGTTTCATGAAACATCTTATTTTCAATTCAATTTGCACTTATCAGTGCATGACTATTATTTTTTTTCATTATCTTCAGCAAAATGTTGTTACCATAGGATATTGAGACATTGTTCAATAATTTCTGCATTCTTTTTTATTATCTTTCTTTAAAATGGGTAGAAATCTAAGACTTTTCTAGTTGATGAGTTCTTCATATAAATCTCTAGATTAGCACTTGTGGAGATGAGAGGAATACAGTATCACTGTTTAAACTAGCATTGGTTGACTTTAACATTTTGGGATATTATATTATTTTTTATGTGTACCGTCAAATCAGATCTGACTGGTACAGGAGGGGAGATTGCCCCTCCTTCTCCAGCAAAGCATCTGGTGGATTTGAACCACGTACCTCTGGGATTACAGTGTAGCATCTTGCCACTAGGCCACCAGATCTCCCTAACACCATTTCTTGTAAAGATTGTTTTCTGCCTTTCGGTACGTCTTTCCAGCCAAGATGTTAGAGGTCGATGGTCCCAAATGGTGACCCTTAATAGCAAGAATGTCCCTTCTGCCCCTTTTACGTGGGATGTAACCCAGCCACGGAGGCCCTTTCTTTGTCATCGCCTGTCTGTGCTGCTTTCTTGATTTTTTTTTAAATTTTTCATAGCCATTTTTTCCATGTTTTTCAACTGTATTTTGTTGTTGTTGTTTGTTGTCGAGTCAGATTTGACTGGCACAGGAGGAGATTATCCTTCTCCAAAGGACTGTCTGGCGGGTGGATTTGAACCACACACCTTTGGGATAGCAGCACAGCTTCTTGCCACTAGGCTACCAGAACTCCCTTTGTGCAGCTTTTTTTGCATGCACTTTACAGCCACCTGAGGGCCGTGACTATCTGGTGGCATGAGAACCCTGTTAGGTGAGCAGCTTGGTTTCATAATTGTCCCTTTTTCCTCAAGGCAAGACAGACACAGTTGTGAACCTAATACACATCCTCAGCTATGTTCTTTTTTTTGGAGGCTGTCAGTGACGGTGGGGCAGCTCTCCTTGGGGTTGGAGATCTCCAGAAGCCTTTGATGGTGATGTTGAGATGGCCACAGGTGTCTTGAGACAGAGTCTTCTAGAGAAAAAGCATCAGTAATTTCTGAGAGAGAGAGAAGAAAGAGGAAAAAGGTTCACTTTGGAGAATTGGCTTACAGCTTGGTGGCACAGTGATTAAGTGCTTGGCTTTAATCTGAAAGGTTGGCAGTTTGAATTCACCACAGGAGGAAAAGGAGGCCGTGTGTTCCCATAAAGATCACAGCCTTGGGCACCCTGTGGACAGCTCGGCTTTGGCCTGCAGGGCCATTGTGAGTGCGAATTGACTCGATGATAGTGGGGGCTTGGGGGATTTGCTGGTCCCAAATCTGTAGGTCAGACAACAGCTTGGAGATTCTTGCAGGCTTTTATCCCAAAGTACTCCTGCAAGAGACAAGAAGGATGTAGAATGAAGAGAGAGTGAATATGGCCAAAAATATCTTTGTAATCTGGAGGCACAACATGTTGTTGTTGTTGTTATGTGCCGTCGAGTCGTTTTCGACTCATAGCGACCCTATGCACAACAGCTCTAAACCCTGCTCTATCCTGCGCCAACCGAACTGCCTCTGACACACCCATCCCGATTACCCCAGTCACCG